GACGCTGCCAGCCCCAGATCAGTCCCCGCTGCGGGCCAAGAGCAGGGCTGGGTTGTGCTGGGCGGTGCGCTCTGGGAAGGTGGGAAAGGACCGGGAGGTGTCAGCGACTCCTCATCACCACAGGTTCTTTTTGCTTCGCTTCTCAAATTGGGAAACCTTTTTGACTGAAAACCACGTCTGTGTGTCAAGTTTTGAAAGGCGGGTAACGTGGTTTGTTTGTTTTCTTTTTAACAGAGGAGGCAAAGGAGCTCCTTTTACAAGTGGAATAAAACACACAGCACTGCGGGCACAGCGGTGTGGTGCGAAGCAGGAGGGAGACTTGTGAGGGAACAGTGCTCTGTTGTGTTTGGCTTATTTGCTTGGCAGTAATTTCTGTGTCCCCCAAGAAAACCTGAATTTAAAAGCTGTGGCAGGCTTAGGAAGAGTCTCCAGCTGAACTTCTTGTGGTCTCTAAAAGGGTTTGGTTACTTTCAGGTCCTGGGCTGCCACAGACCTAGTTCTTTGCAGCTTACGGTGATCTCTCTAGTTTCAGAAGAGGTTCTTTCTCGTGGCGGGTGCCCACGTGGCAGTGAAAGCAGCAAGCTGGCAGCACATTACGTGCTGGTGAATTGTAAAAGTTGAGGATGGTTTTGTGGCTTCTCTGTGGCAATCTTCAGTAACAGTGGTGATGATAAGAGGTTAAAAAATTACTAAAGGGAAATGCAGGGCTCTATTTTTTTATGCTACTAAGATTGAGCAGACAGGAGGTGTTTGCAGGGGGTGAGGTGTTAGAATGATGCAATGCAAACTGCTGCTTTTCTTTCTTTAAATTGTAGACAAGGTTTCCATTAAAATCCAAGAGCAATGAGCAGTTAGGGTCTTGTGTAGTATTCTCTCCCCTCTTGAGAGCAACGAGCATTGTCTTGAGAACGGTGATATCGCCGTACTTGGTCCCATCTGAGTCAGGAGCACGTGAGGGGCATTCGTTCGCTTTACTGTCGTTGCTTTGGCTGGCAGGCTGTGGAAAAGGAAGTGTTTGCAACTTTCAATTTAAAAAGCCTCTTGCAAGGGTGTTTTTGTGTTATTCTCGGTGAAGTTTTGCGTAGTTGGGTAGACTGTGTGCGTGACTAGGTAACTTGATTCAGAGACCGTAGGATTAGCGTTCTTTATCAGGGACTTGCAGGATGGGAGTTTGCGGTTTTGCTGTGCAGAGATCTACCTGCTGTCAGAGACAGTGTAACTCTGCGGCGACCGATGAAGCTTTGTCACTCACACTGTGCGTGTGGCGGTTGTAGGGGGCTTACTGTGGATGGGAAATAGGTTGAACATTCTCTTTTCTCTGCGGTCGTGCTCTGTCCTCTCTGCTCTGGTGGGTGGTTTGCTGGTGGTAGTGCCCTCCGTACTGAGCCTGGGCCATGAGAGTTGTTCCTCAGCATTTCTTTTGCCTGTCAGAATTGCGTGGGCTGGTGGAGTGCCTGCACCTGGGGGAGCGTTACGTGCTTCTGCCCAGTATGGGGACTCACTCGCCCGCTGCTGCCACACCACCAGGCTGACTGGAATCCGCTATCAGACTGGTTTTCCCTGGTTCATGATCACAGGTACTGCTGGATCAGGTGTTGCTAATACCTTCTTGCTTCTGTTCCCAGAGTGCTAATGTGACCTTAATCGACCTTCCCGGCCATGAGAGTTTGCGGCTTCAGTTCTTGGAGAGGTTCAAGGCTGCAGCCAGGTAACTTGGAGGAGGTTGGCTGGGCAGGAGGGGTCAGGTCATGTTTTTGACAGGGATGGACCAAATGGTGGTGCTGGGGGTGCTGTGAGCTGGGCTGGATTCGCCCTGTGCGGTGGTGCCCTGACAGTCAGCTCTGCCATGGGGGTTGTTACTCTGCTTTCCCTCTGACCTGTGGTCATAGTGCATCAGGAGGCAAAGCCACTGCAGCGGGGAGGGTGTAGGGTATGTGGTATATCCATGGGGCAGAGAGGGAAAGGTTTCTTGCTGTGGTGGGACGTGGGGTGTATTTCAGCCAGCGTGTGCTAACTTCTTGAGTTGGATGAGATCAGTGGTGGAAACAAATGTGTTAGCCCAGGCTGGAATACTTGCAGGGAGAGATGGTTACAGGCCCAGCGCGTGTTCTTCCCTCTTTTCTCCAGAGCCATTGTGTTTGTGGTGGACAGTGTGGCCTTCCAGCGGGAGGTGAAGGATGTGGCGGAGTTCCTGTACCAGGTCCTGGTCGATAGCACTGTGCTCAAAAACGCACCCGCGCTGCTGATCGCTTGCAATAAGCAAGGTATTGTGTGCTGCCTTGTGGGCTGGGTGTTGGGTTCAGTCCCTGAGTGACAGGGGTTCATGCCGTGGATGCAGAATCTCTTAGGAGCTGGGATTTCAGTAGAACAAAGGCTGGAAATTAATTGTAAACTGAGAGCACTCAGCAGAAATATTTTTAGCCACCATTGGAAGAATTCTTAGGGTTAGGTATGTCTAATAGCTTTGCAGAGAAGCACCACTTGGGAGAGCTACAGCTTTTTAGATGGGCTTAAGTAAAGGAGGTGGCTTTCTGCTTATGCAGAACTGTCTTCCTGATTCTGCAGGCAGCAGAAAATGAGCCTAATGAACTATCTGTACACGCTTGGTAGCTTCAATATTAAAATCAAGACAGCTGTTTAGCTGCCAAGTTTGTATGTTTTCTCTTGATTGGACTAGGAGGAACATCCCGTTACTGGAAAGGCCTAGATTTTCAGATCCCTGCAACTTTTACAGTGAAAGTGTGGATCCCTGTGTAGCAATCTGAAGCTTTGGGGCAGTATGAGATTTGGTTTTTGTAGTTATTTTGTGCACTACTTTAGGACCTGTCTGAGGCCTTCATGGCTCCACGTGCCGTAGGCTGAAAAGCGCTGTGCGGAGCTCTACAATGCCAGGACAGGTGGGAGTGCTGGGCCTTGTGAGTGGGACGTCAAACCCCATCCTGCCCAGCAAGAAATAATTAATTCCCTACGTCGTATCAGACTTTTGGGTTGCTCCCATTCACAAACCCAGAGCTCCAGTGTCCCTTGTCCTGGTGCAGACACTGTCATCTTTGTCCCAGTAACTCTTAGGACTGCATAGTATGAGCAGGCCTTGCTGTGCCTTTAGGAGAAGGGACCAAATTCTGAATTCTGATGTAAAACCAAAGAGCTGGTTCCCTTTTCTTTTCTCTCTCTAGATGTCACTATGGCAAAATCAGCAAAACTTATTCAACAGCAGCTGGAGAAAGAGCTGTAAGTATGACATTGGATCTTAAACCCTCTGAGTTTCTCTCTTCTTTCTGTGTCTTACCTCAGTGCTCAGTGAGCTCCCTTGAGCCACATCTAAGGTCACTGAAGAAGAGCAGTCTCTTTTGTCTGTGTAGGTGTAACCAGGATGAGAGAAGATTGCTCCTTGCTACAGCATGCAGAAAAGCAGTAGGCACAGACAGTGTATTACCTGCTAGAAGCTGTGGGTTGGAGAAGCAACTTCCCAGTCCTTTCCTAAAAGCTGCCATCCCTAGGCTAAGCGATACCTCCCAGGGCACTGTCCTCTCTCAGGTACAGGCAGGGTTGGCTTCCAAACGTCAGACTTGCTGCGAGTGGTGTGAGGATCTCAGTAGCTCTGCTCAGTTGTACTGGCACAGGTTTTTTTGCAGGGCTGCTCTGACGCGGAAGAGCTTGGCATGGAAAGCTTGAGAGCTGGGGAGAGAGCATCTCGTTTCACTGATTTGCTGACAGGCGTTGCGGGAGCCTGTTTGGGACCCCATGCTGGCTCTGCATCTCCCCCTAGGGAGGACGTTAACCTGGGAAGACAAGTGATGTATGCTCGGTGGCAAATTTTAAGTTGTAGGAGGAAGTGGAAGGAGGAGACAGTGGCTTGTAGACTGTGCTACATTGTAAGCTGCCAGCTGAGTGAGCTGCAGTGTCAATGGCTCCTCCATCTGGGGAGGGGTGATTTTTTTTTTTTTTTTTTTTAAGCTGTATTTATTTTCTGTGCATGAAGATTCTGCCTGTGTGTCCTATAGTTGTAGTTGGGTCAGATCTGCTCTGAGAGAGACCTGTGCAGCTCTTGTGTTGTGGTGGACTTCTCCATCAGCATCTAGCAGAGGTTTTCCTTCCCCACACGCTCTTGGCACTGGATATTTTGCCTGCCTGTTGCCCATGAGCCCTGTTTGCTGGTTTGCAGTTAGCGGCAAGGCGGTCTTGGGGGTAGGAGGAGTGTAGCTCTTTGGTCTCCAGACAAATGCGTGTTTGTGGGATATGGCCATCTTGTTGCCAAGTGGTGGACTTGGCAGTGTCATGTTTATGGTTGGACTCAATGATCTTAAGGGTCTTTTCCAACCTAAATGATTCTGTGATTCTATAATCTCTTTGGCCAGCAGATGGCAGCAGGGTTACTTGTGCTGGTGCCTCTTCCAGGGCGAGTATCTGACCTTCCCCTTTTAAAGGGAGGAATCAGTTGCTGCATATTCAAGCTCTCTAGGAAGATAAGCATTCCTTGGTTCATTTGCCAGTTACCTGTGTGTAGAAGTTGGTTTTCTAGGTATATGTGCCTAGAAAGCAGTGTTATTCCTGCAGGCTGGCATATTGCTGCCGTCCTCTCCTGTGCTGCTGTACTTGGATGTCCTTGTGTGAAGAGCCCAGGGAAGTGTCTGCTCTGATTCCTGAACTCGCACCTCCGGGCAGTGTTGGTCTTTCCCTGTGCCCCATTATTTTAGCTTCATTCTGTGAATACGGAGTGGCTGGGATGGAGTGAGAGCAGGCACTGCCAGGCTGCTCTGTCTCGGGAAAAGATGCAGCGGTCCAGCCTTGAGGCTCCACTAGGCAGTTGAAGACCTGGAGAGAGTTTGCTGCTTGCATCTGTGCCTGGTGCAGCCCTTGACTTCCCTAGCCTCGCTTTGTGGGGCCTCAGAGGCAGTCGAATCACAGTGCCTCTGCATCTGTTGGGCTGTGCCGTCTCCCTCTGCCTCTGCTTTGGGTGCCTGGTGAGTGTGGACAAAGAGGTCCGTCCTTCCTCTCCACACGTGGCAGGGAGCTGAGATGGAGCAAGCTGAAGGGCAGGAGCAGTAGTGACATTGCAGCCTGGTCCTTGGGCAGGTGTCGCTCACTGGAGCGGTGAGGAGACTCGAGCACCCTCTCATTCTCCAAAGGTATTTGGCACACTCGGGTGGCAGTGGGGTGAGCCCCTGCATGATCCCTGATATCACGGGTGCCCCTCTTTTCCCAGTTAACCTGTTAAACTAGTGCAGATCCTGAGCACTGTGGGCTGAATCATGCATGTTGACTGGTGCCTGCCATGGGGACACTGGAGAAATTCAGATGGGGACACTGGAGAAATTCAGATGGGGACATCATCGCCTGGCTCTTGCTGTTGTTTATTACAAAACCTGTTTAAGCACGGTCTCCTTAAGTGGTCTGCTGTCTGTCGTGTTCACCTGAGCCTCTCTGCAGTTGTGTCTTCCAGGGGTATTTAGAAGTGGCCAAAGTGCTTGCCCCTGCCTGTGCCTCACAGGGCAGGGCCATGCGCCTGCCCCTGGGACCTTCTGTCCTTGGTGTAGCTGGTGTCCTGTTGATGGAGCTGCATCCGAAGCATCTCGGCAACCACGGTGTAGGTAACATTCCCCTGGTTCACAGTGCAACACCTTACGAGTGACCCGCTCTGCAGCCCCCACCAGTCTGGATGGCTCAGCCACTGGGGGCCCTGCCCAGCTGGGGAAGAAGGGCAAGGACTTCGACTTCTCCCAGCTGCCCATGAAGGTGGAATTTGTGGAGTGCAGTGCTCGGGGCAGCAAGGGAGAGGAGGGAGATGCTGACTTCGAGGGCCTTGAGAAATGGCTGGCCAAGATTGCCTGAACAGGGAAGGGCACGTCTGGAGGGAGAGACTTGGGGAGGCTGGGGGGCAGCACAGTTGAGGACTGAAAGGAAGAAGGTGGTCTGAAACACTCAAATCTCATCTTCTTGTAGAAAGAAGAAACTTAAGCTGGAAATCAGCATTGTGGTATCTTCCTTTGCTGCTCACGGGCTTCGGAGCAACATGACACATTTGCTGGTGCGATTTCCTCTGACTGTCTCTTCACACTGCAACATGTTTTTCCTCTCCCCTCTGCCTTTGTCTTCCTCTGGGGTGCTGACCCTCTGGGCTTCTGTGTTTCCTTAATCTGTAGGCTATTCATAAAGTAGTTGCCAAGAAAATTAGGAAGGAGTGTGCTGCCAGATTAGTTTTGGAGATTGGAGTCTGTGTGTTGTCTTCTGCCTTGGCTTGGCATTGCAACCCTGTTGTCTCTCAGAGCTGCTAATCCTGTCCTGGTTCGGACTTCTTTCCCCAGCCTCTAGCTGCGCACATCACCTACACTGCCCCTGGCAACTGAGGAGAGTATAAAAAGCTGTTTTCTTCGTGTCTCCTCCCGTCCCGTTCTTCCAAACTGGTGCAGTCCTGTTTCTGTGGGACCAGAGTGGTCCCTTAAATGCCTGAACTGGGCTGGCTGATCTGCTTTTGTCGCTGCGCACTGTCTGTGTCCAGCTGCGGTGCCTGTGTCTCTGGGTGATTTCCATTGTTGGACGGTTCTTGGGAGTTCTTCTTTAACTGAGGGCTATGTCCCAAAAGCTTGTTTTACACCACTTCTGCTTTCTGTACTTCAGGGTCTCATCCCACAGACGTGTATGCATGTTCTCCAAGTGGCAGACTGACAGTAGGGTCCTGGTGTGAAATTGTGAGGCAGGTATGTTTAGATTCTTACCTGCCTGCATTCTGTGAGAGATCTGGCACGACAGGCGTTGGCTGTGCAGTCCCCTGCCTGTCTCCTGTGTGATCTCTGCTGTTCCATCTGCAGGGAAGATTCAGGGAATGGCTGTTGCTGCAGCCATCGCCATGGCTCAGCAGGCTGTGTGGAGTATTGGAGGGCTCTGACTCAGCATGCTTCCGAACTTTTCAAAGGATGTTTGCTTTCCTCCTTGCCGTGCTCTGGCCAGGACCATCGGTCATCCAAAGGGAGATCTTCCAGCAGCTCTGGTGTTGGTCAGGTGGGAGCCAAGACCCTGGTGCTGTGCTGGGCGTTCAGCTTCCCATTCCTGAACAGCCTTAAAACACAGTTGCCCTGACCAGCACCTTCATACAGAGCACAGCTCTGTGCTCTGATGGGGTGTCATTTCTGTGCAGCACCTACATGAGGATGATTGCTCTCCACATTGCATATTGCCAGGTCCTACGGCATTAGAATTCTCCCTTTGTTTTTGTTTTTTCCCTTTTGTTCTGGGGTAGGAGGGAGTGGCTGGCTCCTGGTAGACTTTTTCTGTCTTTTGCAGACTCATCGTGTCTCTGGTTTGATGCATCCTTCATCGCTCAGCTGATCTGTTGCATCCTTTTCCTTTGTGTGGGGCATTCTCTGCTTCCCTGTAGTGTTGCCATGTGTTAGTAGCATCGGGAAGAGCAAGAACAGTGTTCTGCAAAGACCTGGCTCATGATGGAGCTGGGCCTTGCGTTTCTAGTCTTGTGAACCCAGTGGCTCTTTCTACTGTCCATGCAGGAGGTGGGGAGGGTTATATTTATGAAATATGTTATATTCTTGTATTTCCTGCAGCCAGAGCATTGTTGAAACATGTTTATCATGCTTTGAACTCTCTTAGCTGGAGATCCTTCCTAGGCTGTCTGCTTTGAATCCGTAATGCTGAAGTGAGAATATTGCTGTTTCTTTGGGTGGTTATTCTGCTTGCAGAGACCTGTCTCCTTAAAAAGTGGAGGCTGAGCACCAGCCTCTGCTGTGGTAAGGTAGCATAAGGCCATAGCTGGTTTTAAGTTATCCTTGTTAAAAGTATTCCTTAAATAAATTTTTTTTTTTCTTAAGCATTTGTTCTCAAGTCATGGTTTAGTCTGTCTGTCTTGGCCTCTTTTCAGTGATGTCAAATCCACATGGACTGGGGCTTTGCTTCTGTTCAATATGACGTTGGAGATCAACCTTCCTGCTTGGTGGCCAGCTCCGTGTTGTCAACAAACAATGCCTCCTCCACACACAGGGCTTTTGGGGTATTTTTTGGGGTGTGTATTTACTCCTTAGTCTGAACGTTAGAGACTTGATAATCGCATAGCAAAAAAACCCAAACCAGTAACCAAAACACGGCAGCGCGGCTGAGCTGGGGTGTGCCCAGTGCCGCTCGTGCCGGAGGACGGAGCGTGCCGTGGGCTGCTGCAGAGCCGCATGTGTTTTTTGGGCTGTGCTCCATGACTGGCCTGTTAAATATTTGGGGCTGTTTTTCCCCAGTGGCTGAGGGAAAAGGGCAGAACTGGAAACTCTGAATATTGCTTGCTTTGTTTTTTTTTTTTCCTCCAGTCAGCTTTGTGCTTTGTTTCTGGCAGCTCTCTATAAACCTTGCTCCCAGCCTGTGGCTTTGTGCTGGCTGGGCAAGGAGCTCCTCAGGCTGCAGCCCAGCGGCCCGTGTGGTTAGATGGCTTTGGCAAGACAGCAGGGTGTGATAAACTCGGTCCCTTCTGCGCCAGCTGCCTGACCCAGAGCCAGTCACCCTGCTGCTTTTACACATCTGCAGGGATTGAGGGTTTCACTGTACTTTAGAGCTCTTCTGATTGATGTATTTTCCTGTGGGTTGTGCTTTGCCTGCAAATTGTTCTCCTGGAAAGGAAGGGTGCTTTCAGAGGATATCAACAAGCATGGTGAGATCCAGGATAGCTTGTATCAAGAATAGTGTGGCCAGCAGGAGTCGGGAGGTGATCGTGCCCCTGTACTTGGCACTGGTGAGGCCGCAGCTTGAGTACTGTGTTCAGTTTGGGGCCCCTCACTACAAGAAGGACATTGAGGGGCTGGAGCATGTCCAGAGAAGAGATCTGGAGAGCAAGTCTTCTGAGGAGTGGCTGAGGGAGCTGGGGCTGTTTGGTCTGGAGAAGAGGAGGCTGAGGGGGACCTTATCGCTCTCTACAACTACCTGACAGGAGGTTGTAGCAAGGCAGGTGTTGGTCTCTGCCCTCAAGTGACTAGCGGTAGGACGAGAGGCAATGGCCTCACGTTGCATCAGGGGAGGTTTAGCTGCAAAGAGGCGTTTAGATGTGGCACTTCAGGACATGGTTTAGCAGGCATGGTGGTATTGGGTTGACGGTTGGACTTGATGATCTTAGAGGTCTTTTCCAACCTATGATTCTATGATCAGTGGGTGCATCTCCAGATCCCAGCAGCTGATGCTTCTCCTCCCATTCTAGCAGGCTGTCTGCATCCTGCCAGGAAAGGAGAGGTCCAGGGCTGTGCTGTGGGGCAGGTGAAGCTCTGCCAGGGTGGATCAGGGTGGCCCTGAGCTCCCTTTGGAGATGCCAGAGGCAGGGATACGTGCTGCCTGCAACCCTGTACCTGCATCCCCATGTGCGTTGCCAGCTCTACCCTGCCATCAGCCCCTTGCTTGCAGGCCCTCTGCCCTGTGAACCCTCCCTCCAGCACCCTGCCTGCAGACCACCCCCTCCAGCGCTCTTACTGCAGGTGTCTTCCTGCAGCCCCCTGCCACAGCCCCTCTGCCTGCAGCTCACTGCCAACAGCCACGTACCTGCAGACCGCTGCAACCACCTGTAGCCCTCTGCCTGCAGCCCCCTGCCCCCAGCCGCTTGCCCACAAACCCCTGCATGCTGCCTGCAGCCCCCTGCACCCCCCCTCAACCCCCTGCACCCTGTCCCCAGCAACCTGCCATAGTCCCCTGCCTGCAGCCCCATGCCCACAGCTTCCTGCACCCTGCCTACACCCCTGCCTGAAGCCCCCTGCATGCTCCCCGTTCTCCCAGACCCTCTCCTCTTGCCCCTGCAACTCACTGCCAACAGTCCTTGTCTGCAGGCCCCGCACCCTTCCCGAAGCCCCCTGTCACAGCCCCTGCCCTCAGTTGCCCGCACCCTGCCCGTGATCTTCTGGCTGTATGCCCGATGCCCATCCTTCCCTACCCACAGCTCCCTGCACCCTTGCCAGCAGCCCCCTGCCCACAAGCCCTGCCTGCACCCACCTGTACTACGCTGGCAGTCCTCTGTCTCCAACAGCACGCCTGCACCCCCCCCCCCATCGTGCCCCCAGCCCCTCCCTACAACCCCGCTGCTGCCCCTCGGCTCCCTGCCCGTTCTGCACAGCCCCCTCATCACTGGCTGAGCTCATGCCCTGTCTGCTGCCAGTTCTTCTCCTTTGCCAGCGAGGGATGATCTCAGCATCTGCCAGGATGTGACCTGCAGCCATCCCCACTGCCTCATCTTGCCGGTGGGAACAGCTCTTGGGTGAGATCGGCAAGGCACCACAGTTGGAAAAGTGACCTTTATTTTAAAAAAAAACCACAACAAAACCAACAGCAACAAACCCCTAAATGTTCTGCAATAACTTCTCACAACACGTGTGCAGTGTCCATGCTGACCTGAGGGCAGGGGAGGGACGCAGGGCAGCCCCACAAGGGTAGCAGCCGTCTCCCCTGCTCGTGTCCCAGCCAGGAGTGCGTCACCCGGCTGGAAACGTCATGCTGGACGAGGGACTGTTGTCCACAGCAGGCACTTCTCTGCGCTCCAGACCTGTCCACCTCCTGCTCTGGGTGGTGGGGGGCTACCCCGCCCCCCCAAAGTGATGGGCAAGGTGCGGTTGGAGAGCCTGGGAGGAGCCGGTCCCAGGATGGGGCTGGCACAGAGCATCCCTCGCCGGGAGCACGGTGGTGCCATGGGCTGCAGGAGAGGAGCTCAGAGCTGCAAAGGTGAAGTTGCTCCCTTAGAAGGAAAAACAAACCCAAAAAAGACAAAGTACTGGCAGTGGGTAATGGGGGGGTGTGGAGTCAGTCCTTGGGTGGCCTACACCAGCCCCGCTGCCTTCTCCTGCACATTGTACTCCTTGCTCCTCTTCACC